GGGTATAGGGGTTTAGGGTTTAGAGATTTAATGGTTTAGGGTTTAGGGTTTAGGGTTAGGGTTTAGGGTGTAGGGGTTTATTAAAAAGCTATAGGGTTTGGGTCCGGAGTTTTGATCGAGTTTCCGTTTTAACTTTTGACCTATACAATTTGTATTCATCTGGGCTTGAGGGTTTAGGGGTTTAGTGGTTTAGTGGTTTAGGGTTTAGGGTTCAGGTCCCTATGATAGTCTCTGCATATTCCCTCACCGTGGTCCCTGTAAAGCCTGTCGCAGCAGTCCCTACAAAATCCCTGAAAGTTGCTTACCCCTATACTCCATGTCCTGAAGCCTAGACCCTCAACCCTGCACCCATGTTCCATGAAGGTGAAGGCTTTAGGGCTTAGGCCTAAACCCTAAGCCCTTCAAACGCTAAACCCTAAACCCTAAACCTTTGGAGCTTGGAGTAAGGATCCCTCAACAACCCTTCCTTTTCCCAAGAGACACTGAGGTTGACTCGGTAGGGTTTAGGGTTTAGGGAGCAATTTAATAGTTAATGTCCCAAAACCACTTGCGAAAGAACACCGATATTATTTGGAGACCCTCCCAAAATCCATACCATAGCAACCCACATAGGCCCCTTGCAAATGGACAGTAATTCTGGTAGGGCCCTTTTGGGCTCCCTTAACTCTTGACTTCAATCCCTTAAGCCTAAAGCCTTCACTCTAAACCCTAAACCCTAAACCCTAAGCCCTTTAAAGTGTCTGGGTTGCTAGGATGCCGAAAGCTTCATCAGCGACATGGTCTCTCTGTCTTCTCGAGAGCCAGGCCCAAAAAAAGTATATTTAGGGGTTTCCCAACATTAGGGGTGCCTTTTTTGGGAGTCCCTATAATAAGGACTATATTTTGGGGTCTATATTGGGGTCCCCTTATTTTGGGAAACTACCCTTTGAAGGTTCTTGGGATGTAACAAGCACTGTAAAAGCTTGTGCAATGACGAAATCATCCCCTTATAATCCTTGCATAGTTATAGTACAAAGGACCCCCAAACTGGTTTCACGCTTTTGCTTGCACTGCAAACAAGGAAGTTTGTGAAACCTACGCATACGTATAGATAGGATTTTACAAGCCCCGTCATAAAGTGTTGCTGAAGTACGGTTGATCGAGGTTATTGGGCTTAGGGTTTAGGGCTCAGGGTTGTTCAAGGTTATCGGGAATGATTGGAAAACAGACTTTACATTTTTACATATCTCAGCCCATGCAGCGCACTTTTAACGCAAAGTCGAAGGCTAGTGTCATGTAGTCTGTTTGAGCCATTATTGTAGAAAAGCAGTCGTGTTACACTTTGCAGAGTACGGTACTATTGTATACTAAGCTCATGCAGGATTTGTCGTATCAGTAGTAGGTTTTACAGTTTTTGTATGTGCTCCCAACGGTCCACCTGCACCATGTTTGGTGCTGTGGCCACACTGCCCCCGGAACACCATTTCTAAAGACCTTCATCTTCCCATGATGATAATTTCTCTTAATCCTGGAAAGCTCAGGTCGTGCCCAGAAGCCTCGTAAGACGTCTGGTGCCAAACGGTCGCGTGTTCCGAAGGCAGGTGGCAACGCACCAATCCAGGCGTCTCGGACGAGGGACGTGCCTGGCGCAGAGATCCTGAAAGGGATCCACCCCGCCAGTTCAACGCCTGCGTCCTGAGGGATTTGACGCAGGACGAGACAGCCGAGTTGGTGGCCTCCTTCACGTTGATTGCGCCGGGCGAGAAGCCCATTGTGTCATTCTGATTATGCTCGTTTTTACAAGATCGGTCCTGCCTGGGAATAGAAAGGTCCAAGAGGGACTTTGCTTCCACAGACATACCCTACACCCTAATCCTAAACCCTGAGCCCTAAGCCCTAAACCCTGAGCCCTAAGCCCTAAACCCTAAATCCCAAACCCTGAACCATACACCCTAAACCCTTGACCCTGGGCCCGGGTCCTTGTGTGGGTTCTCAATGCAACTGCTTGTGAAAGTCAGGACTCCCAGTACAGACCTTCAACAAGTCGAACTGTCAGGATGATCAAGGTTTAGGGATTTAGGGTTTAGGGATTTGGGGTTTAGGGATTTGCGCTTTAGGGCTTAGGGATTTAGGATTAGGATCCTAGTCTTGCCACAGCGTGTACTGGCTTAGCAGATGCCATGATTGCCTGGTGGTTGTGGTGCCTGACGCCTTCAG